TCCATCAGTGTAAAGCTTTTCTGGTTTCTCGACGAAAAACTGCGACAAGTAATTTTCACAGCCAATTTTGCTCCATTAAGGGAGTTCTACATTGACCGAAACAAATGGTAGTCCGATGGTGTAAGGTAAGGGTCTAGCGTTGTTTTGACCACAGTTGATCAGTTCTGGCCTTTTTTTCGATTGCTTGCTTCAATCTCATCAATTGTTGACATATAAAATCATTGATTGATTCCTTTCCAATCCCACCAAACAATCATCATAACTCTTCGAGACGCCAATCCTAGCTTAGCGACATTTATGATTAAAAAACTTCAAAATTCAGCTGTAACCTTTTTTAAACTTGCCCGATTCTAATTTTTTGGTTAAATGAAACTTAAAACCTCACCTTTCCAACACTATGTGGTATGATTGGTAGCACTGGAGATATACGACTGCAACGACATCTATTGACAAAATACGAAAAGACTTTTTCGACTACCCAATATAAGTACATATTTAATAGGCATAAATATATTTACAAAGCATAATTGTATATACCATAAAGATACGAGTATCCACACACGAATCTGTTTTAGTCAACTTAAATTAATTGTTTATAAAATTAGAGTACACACAAACCGATTACAAAAGTAAACCTATTAAAAAACAAGTATATTTTTTTTTATATAAATTTTACCTACATTACTTACTTTTTAAAAATTAAAATATGAGCAATTCAGTGTTTATGTTGGTGAATTTCCGGTTATTGCCAATTCTTATGTGTTGTTTGTGTGCCACAGCTTTCTCACTTTTTAATTTATTAGTACTGCTAATATTTGTGTTGTGTTGTTTTTATGTATAGTTGCATATAATTGTGTGTTTGTGCAATGAAGTTTGTGTTTTGTTGCTAATTATTAATATTTGTTTTATATACATAACTAGCGCCGGATCACTAACTACAAAGAGATGCTAAACAATTTCAAAAACTTTAAGTGTTTCGCATTTAATAAATTAAAAAATTGCATATATGTTTGCGTGTATGTATGTATATTGAAATGTATATAAGTTCGTTAAAACCTATATTTGTACTTTTCATATGGCTTCAGTAAGGTATAGCCAATATATTTGCGATTTTGTTTGAGCGTTGGTGTAGTGTTAGACACKTTGATATTGGAAATTTATGCTGCAAAAATGTAAGGATTGTATTTTGTAAGAATGGTTAGTCACAAACGAAAGTTTTGGTATAAATTACAGTAGCCGCTTATTTTGTGTTAGCGGGAAAACTTTTATGAAGGTTATATTGTTGAATTACGCGTATTTTTTTAAACTATTTTCCATTGCTAAGTTAACTTGTGTGATGGCAAAATGAACGTATTTAAATTGCAGTAATCATTATTGCAATAAAAAATAAAAATTATAGTTTGATTATTATCGTGTTTTTTTTTATTTTTTGTTTGAAGTTAACTTAACATTGCGAAATTGTGTTTTTTGTGTAAATATATATTATATACCATAGAGAGGCACATTAAATCATATTTTAATAAACAATTATTGCAATTACTTTAAGTAATTAAACTATTATAACTATTTATAAAATTAAAAACAAAATAACTATTTTTTTCAAATATGTTTTGTTCATTATTTTCAAACTTAAATCCTGCTATGGTATTGATAATTTTTTGATAGGCGGCTGATTCTCGTCAGTACATAGTATTATCATTAACAATTATTAATTAAGAGCACGGTCACATAGCACGAAATGTAAAATCTAAATTATATAATAAATCAATTAAAATTATCCACCAAAATGTTAATTAAAGTGTTCGTTATTTTCCCAGATTTTTTTTGGTTTTTTTTTTTGAAGACGAGACTTCAGAGATTAAAGTTTTACGTTTAAATGCTTTTATAGTCGGTTATCAAGATCTCTCGTGAACTCACATCATACAGTTAGAATTTTCAAAAAATCAACGTTTTTATTTTATTTTCCTAATGTATATATATTTAAGAATACACACAAAAAATCATTAACATCGTTCCGGTGAATATTTTCGAAGTCACACGCAATTTCGAAAGTCGTTTCAAAGTGCTTGGAACTACATTCCAAACTTTATACGCGTTTTTCTCAAAATGGTGTTTTCAAAGTCGGTAACCAACATTACTCGGAAACGGCAAAAGATTAGTTTCAAATTTTAACACGAGCTTCTTATATATATTTTTTAGTAATTAAACGAAGATTTTTTCTCACCGATATAGTTTTTTATTAACAATATATTTCCGAAATTTCGGTAAAAACTCGATTTTTTTTTGTAGAAATCCCCATTTTATTAAAAAATTTTATTTTACTTATTCCTCCAATTAATTACTAGATGTGACATTACTTCAACGAATTTTGTTAATTTTTTTTAATTTCAGAGGACTCAATTCAGAGATATAGTGGTCACCGCAAAACATTTTTTTTTTAGATTTTTACTAATACTAAGTAATAAGAAAATACAGTGCTTTCGGCCCTCCTTTTAAATAACCCCATATCCCTAAGAACTCAGGTCCTCAGGTATAATTTATAAGCTCTTGAACGAAGGGTTTTTTGTTGAATTACAACTATTAAAGAAACATCGGCAAATATTCACCAAAATTTGTATTTTTTGTAAAAACGTTTGTAAAAATCCAATTTTCATTTTTCTTTTTATTCTTTCTTCAATACCTACTTTATGGTCTTAATTAAAAACTGTAATTTTTCGTTTAACTGTTAATGATCGTGTAAGAAGTTCTGCTGTCAACGCGGATGCACATTTTTCCCAGAACCTGCCGAAATGACGTCGTAATAGCCGAGTTATGAATTTTTCATTTGAAATTTGCGTAAAATGTTAGTAAAAAATGTGTCTTTGGAATAATAAAAAATTTTATTTTTTATATGAAAAAAAAATATTGAGAATAGCTCGTTCTTGCTCGAGGAATCCAAACATTATTCAACATAAACAAACTCTTTAGTTTCATTTAGGGTTTCATATAGTCTCATAAATTTATAAGCTATAACGAACAGAAGTTATATAGTCGAGAATTGTAATTGCATGCAATACAACAACAATTTTTTTAAGCAAGTCAAACAATGTATTATTTTATGATTTGACGATGGGTTATGAAAAGTTATTAGTCCCCTAAATTCTTGTCCTCTATCTAAAAAAAACACGTCGTTTAATATATGCAGCTATTGACAGCTAATTATAACGCTACATATTTTGAAGTAAATGATGTTATTTTCCAATAAATCATTTATTTTCACTGCTTTTTCACTCATTTCATTACAACCTACGGTTAACTTAAACGATTTGAGTGTGACAGCTCATTAGTAACTAAAATATACTGTTATTAAAAAAATTGCTTACTTTCAGGTAGTATTTTGTTGCTTAACCCTTTTACTTTACTCCTGCTTCACATAGATTGCGAWTTGACGTTATAAGACTCTGACACCGCACCACTAATGTTGCTTGCCATGCCGTTATAATTTTATCAAAGAAGACATCCATATTTGTATATTTGTTTTGGATTGTTATTTTGTTGGAATTTTCATAGGACGAATTCCTCCTTAGTCCATGGCAGAATGACATTTTTTAGAACGTCGACGTATTTCTGCTTTTTTAAAATTACGTCAAACGCAGGGAGCGGCCCTACACAATTCCAGGAAAAAAATTCCCACACCGTGATTGATCCTCCACCATGCTTCACTACGAGTGAAACATAGTGATCATAAAATTCTTGATAGATCATATACCTTCGACCATCAGAATCTATGCTAACTTTGGTTACATCGCTCCAAGCAACATACCACCATTGATTTGTTGTCCAAGATCAATAAGAGTTGGTAAAGTCTACGCGTTGTTTACGTTGAATTTTAGTCAGAAGTGGTTTCCTGCGTGTTGCCCTACCGTGTAGTCAAAATTCGACCAAACGCCGGGAAATTGTTTTCTTGTATATTTGGACATTATATTCGTCTTCAGTTTTCTGTAGAGTGGCAGGGGAACTTTTTTGTGGGTCTCTTCGAGCGGTGGTAGTAATTCAGCGGTATATATTTGTTGAAGTTTTTAAGGTTGACCTGTTTCAAAATTTTTTTGTCCGTCTTCCCAGACTGACGAAAGTCAAAAATGTAACCAAGTAGGGCAGGTGTACAGCTGCAGCTTTTCTCATTAAAAAACTTGAATAATACACTTTAATATATTTTAAACCAAAACTCTGAAACACATCCTTACCAGAAATCAATAATATTATTCATAAAAATTAACACCTGCAATAATTTTACTTCATTAAACAACTGTTTCTAATTAGCTGTCGCACTTAATTCACCCTCTATATCGTACCGATGGTAAATGCATTTGGGAAAAAACTAACAGAACTTCAACTGTGAAACTATAAAACTGAGCTACTACCAAATTCGCTCAGTTTTATAGTTTCACAGTTGAAGTTCTGTTAGTTTTTTTTATAGAGTAACACAAATTATGTAAGGTTTTTAGGAATATCAATAACGGTATACCAAAACATTTTATCATTATCTCATCAGCACCTCACAAAAACGGCGCATTTCTAATTAGCTGTCAACAGCTGTAATTTTAACTATACATATAACCTCAAAAGAAATATTTTTATGGAAAATATCATTTAAACACTTTTTGTAGAGCGAAAAATCTTGTATTAGAATATATTTTTTCAAAAGGTTGACTTGCTTATGCAAAATTTCAAAAAATCCCTCGAAGAGCTTGTTTACGCAAAAAAAAAAAAATGTGCTTGGAAAATAACGAACACCTTAAAGTCTATATACAAGCAAATACTTACATGATAATATACTTAAATTGCATATGTATGTACATAATAAGAATATTTGCTTATGTAAGTTAATAATTATGTAATTACATATTGATTCTAATATTATTTAGCATTTTCCAACTACTTTCACTACCACAAAAGTTACAAGGAACCCTACGTATTAAATATAAAAAAGTTATGTTCCAAACAATTGTTACCTTAAATATAAACCAAAAACAATAAAGAAAAAAAAAAACAATCTCTAAAGTACATTCATTAGTAGCCAAATAACATTACCTCCTATTAAATTTTATTTGAAAATGTTTTGGTAAATTTAATTAATATTTACAGGTACGTATTATACTACTCGTATACATATGTAAATATGTATCGAAAGTAACCGCATTTCCTATAAAAGTACTAAAACCTTTGTACATAGTATATTCACCACACTTCTTCCACACTTATTTTATGTACATATTATGTTACCGTATGTTAATGCATGTATGCACATGTTTTACTCTTAAATTTGTATGTTATGCATTTTATAGCGGTTAAGCGATTTACTCGTACAGCTGGCTGTAAACACTTTTCGAAGGTTAATGAAATAATTTATTAAACGCATTTGCATGAACTTTAAAGCAGAAGAGCAACTACTAATAGCTACTAGGGCTATTGTCAATTATTGTTGAGGGTGTTGTAGCATTTGAAGAGTCTGGGGTGGCAAAACAAATGCTTGTTGGAGTAGCAGGAGCCTTTTTGGGGGAATTATTAGTAGTAGCGGTAGTAGTAGTTGTCGTTGTTGTTGTTGTGGTAGTATTGATAGTAGCAGTAATGGTGGTGTTGGAAGCGTTATCAGAACTTTTAGTAGCTAAACTGGAAGTAATATTATAATTATCTATTAGAGTGGTCGCATTGTTAGTCGTAGTGGTCGTAGCAGTGATCGTTGTAGTTGTAGTTTTACACATAGTTGTATTTATAATAGCAGTGGAATTAGTGGTGGTATTATTAGAAGTGGTTGTGGTAGTTAATGCGCTTGCAATGTCTTGTAATGTTGAATTAAATTGTAAGACTCTACTTGGCCTGCGTCCAGTTACAATTAGTCTGTAAATACAATACAATACATACCAAACAACACACAAATTTACCGTTATTTTTTTGCATTTTGACGCACACAGCTAAAGTTTGATTATCCAAGCAAAATTAGTAGTAATACACATGTAGGTTATTGTTGTTGACTTTAATGCAGATTAGAATGAAATATTATCGAAATGCCACAGAAATCATTTTACAGTGTAAAATTAGTTTGTACCTAGCCGTGTGTGTGTGTGTGGCACATGTGCGAATTTTAAGCGTGTAGTGTTCAAGTTCACTTATAGTCTATATTTGTTAGACTCTACAGTCATAAAGGCACCAATACTATAAATATGTGACAATTTCTATTTTTGTAAATGAATATATCCAGAATATTGAAGTCATTTTATCAATATATCAAGATAATATATCAATACCAAGATTAAATTTAACTCGGTATGATCCATTTACACTGCGCGTGCTAAACGAATCGATTCAAAATATTTTTCCTAGCTTGTACAACATTTTTTATGTAGGAGTTGGTCATTTCAAGTTCCTTACGTACAGCTGCAAATGAAAGCATTGATTTCCGGAAACAGCAAAAGAACAGCTGGTACGATGAGGAGTACGTGAGTACGAAGAGCTTGACAAGCTGGCCGACAGGGGTGATGCTTGAAAATTCACGAAAAGACGCGGCGATTAACGGAAGGTTTCAAGACTGGAGCACTCGATTCTCTTTTTTTTAGCGCGGTTGGAGTTAACATAAATTTAGCAAATTATTTAATTTTTGAGCAATTTCACTGTGCATTCTTGAACCATGTAAAACCATACCGTGAAATTTTTTTGTTTTCATTTTCAAAAATTACGTTTTTAGGCTTTCACACTGGGGGACAGCGCCTTAATTACGATAACATCGAAAGAATTATGACCTTAGATAACGTCGTGTTAGCATTAGAGAGTTAGTAGACGATTTCAGAGATCGACTCAAAAGATTTTGGCTAATGTTTTGGATATGAAGCGAGTAAAAGCTATAGTCGTTCCCAAACACCTGAATGCACTATTTAGAACGCTGGCGCGTTTTAAGGCCATTGAACCAATTTATAAAGAAATCGCCAGCTAAAGAGTTCGCATGGTAAAGAGACAGCTAACAAACACACACTAATTGATATATGTATGTATGTAGATCAAACTTCACAGGAACATAAAATAATGTTATGCCAATTAATGTAGAAAAAAATTTATCGATGCGCTGTACGCACTCAATTTATATGGACTAATCCGGGTTAAATTTGAGGTTAGGTGCTTCAGTATAAATGTTTCTTTTATATTAAAATAAATTAAGCAATCCGATTTTTATATAAATAATACTACTACATACAGTTTTAACCATCGGTTGTATGGGATAGTTTCCCATATAAGTAATTAACACAAATCTAAAGCACAACCAATCGCAAGATGCTTTTAAAGCGAAGTTCATGAAATTTAACAGTAAAACTAAGTAACTTAACTAATTTTATGCGTAGTTCATTGAATAGGGTAATAAATATTCAGTATAGCTGTAAATAATGATTTTAGGTAAAATTTGATCTTCAAAAATAAAAATTATTTATTTTCTATACGTTCAAGAAAAAAATTATTGAAAGGTTTGTTGTTGTTCAGGTTATGATATTTTCCATCTATGGCGCTAAAAATGCTTTAAAAAATAGCAAAAATTTTTGAAAACTGTGATTATTATATGACACACAAGTAACCGAAAATATATACATATGTATATTAAAATATATGGAACATATAAAATTTGCTGCGCTATTTGCGTTAGTAACAGATGGCAATCAATCTATTAATAAATTGCGGTTTTATTTATGAAATTTTTATATAAATCAACAATCATTTAGTTGCTATTACTTAGCGTATTTTAAAATGTTACTCATAGTAATGAACAAAAAGTAGTGCCACATTTTCTAATAAAAAACAATGCTAAATACACACAAATAAATATTAATAACGCACAAATACTACGAAGTGTTCACTACTAACTAAATGTAAAATGCACAACAAATGAAATCAAATCAAAAACTAATATGTAGTTTATTCAAGCAAATTGTGTGAAAAATATTTTACAAATAACAGGACTAAAGTAAAAACAAACATTAAAAGATGTGTAAGTGTGTGTTAGGCGAAAATGGAGCAACTAAATAACACACACATACGAGCTGTGCGCACGCCGCTACTTATATGCTATACTTACCCACTTAACTCCAACATTGAACCACGCCGCACATTACGCCTATGGCTGGCCGTTACGGGGAAGGGACCCGAATGTGCTAAATCGCCAATATTAATACCGATGCCACCATGGCCGCCGGATGTGGCTACCGAAATCGATTGTGAGCGCTTATCAAGACGGGGATTCGCATGCGGCGGTTGTATTAACGGCATCAGCGGTAGGCCACTAATCAATGCATTTGCCAATGTGGGGTCTGAGCCACGTGCTGAACTAGCGCCATCTGTTGGATCGCCCAGACTGCTGCCACCTCTCGAGCCGCAACTCTCGCGTCGAAATAAACCTATGACAGACTTGGGCTGTTTAGGTTTGTTTATGCCACCTTTTTGTGTAAAATTGTGAAGTGGTTTTTTGATGATGGATTGTGCATACGAATGGAGGAGTTTGTTTTTTGTTTGTTCGATATACGATATTTCATGAGAGTGTGGGCGTTTGTTGTTATTACGTATATTTCGGGTTTTGTTTAATTATTATTTCATTTTTTTAGTTATAATTTTTAGTATTGTTAAGTTGTTTAGTTGCAAAACATGTCATGTCAGGGGTGGACAGTTGCATTATAATCATTACCATTATTATTTTATTTTTGAATTTTTTTGTTGGTTTTTTTTTTGCATAACACACATTCAACGCAGTTTACGTGGAAGAGAAGAACATAGAGGAAATCGAAAAAGGTAAAAAAGAAAGTTAAAATAAAATAAAACACAACATTAGCGGGTGTTTACAGAATTTTGACAATTGGTGCTGTAATACATAAGAATAATTTTAAATACGTCATATTTCAAAGCTACTCTCTAATTTATCATATTATTTGCATATAATTTTTCTCACACACATATGGCTGCAAATATACACTTTTCCAATAATTCTTTAAGAGCGAGTACATAGTTATAGTTAAAAGAGTAAAATAAATGCGCAAATAATAGTACAAAAACTGAAATCGGGTGTATATAGAGGGCATGCAACATTTTGCTTTTAATGTACACTCGTGTTAAACATTTATATTTGTATATGCAAACTCTCTACTTGTATTAAATATCATATTTAAAGTAATATTTTTACTAAGCTGGAGTTACGCAACCATATATGTATTTACATAAGTTAGGGAGGAATTTGAACTATGCAAGTTTCAGATGTATCGCATTTTACTGCCAACGAGCGCCGCTCAGTACTCAAAGTAAAAATTAGCGTTGTGGACTACTTTCACTCATCTATTGTAGGATAGTTAGAATTATTTTCTTATTAAGAACAACTAAATTATAAAATTTAGCTCAATAGTTAAAGGACAAAAAATACTATTTATCCCTAATATATAATGTTCAATAACACTTCCCAAAAAAACGGTTGAAAAATTTGCGACTGTTATTTGAGGTGTCCTCATTGCGAAGTTGAGTTCAATAATTTAACAACATGTACAGCCATTTTTGTCATTTTAGTAGACGGTTTGACCTTTACAGCCCTTTACTGCAACACAAAAAATGCTACGTATTAGGAAATGTTTGCTTTCATTTTCGATTTTAGCAAGAAACAACCTCAACATCACAATCGCAAAATGAATGTGAACTAGTGTAATTTACGCTCGATAAATAATGACAGTCTACATAATTTTTGAAAGCAGAAAATATCACATCAGCATTAAACCCATTGGAAAAGGAAAACTTTTACGAAATAACAGATGCATGTATGTAGTTCAAATAAAAATGGAAAAATTATGGAGGAAACACTTCTCCAGACAGCTGAATGACAGTGAAAGCATAACACCATGAGATGACTTCTTTGTAGAATATGGTCGAACGAAAGTATGCCCGACGATTAGGTTTTAAGTGTACTCTGGCCAATCCACAAAAAGGGACACCACAAACTGTGCCAACTACCGTGGGATAAGCCTCCTCAACATCGCATATAAGGTTATATCGAGAAAATCAACAACTGACCAGATATTCACCATATATTTTGGAAAAGACCCATAAAAAGAAAATAGACACACACCACCTTTTCGTCGATTTCATAACTGCGTTTGATAGCACGAAAAGAAGCTGCTTTTATGCCGCGTGGTCTGAATTTGGTATCCCCACAAAACTATTACTTCTGTGTAAACTGACGTTAGCAATACCATCCATCCGGATCGGGAAGGACCTCTCCCAGCCTTTTCGATACCAAACGAGGTTCCAGAGAAGCCGACTTCCTATCGCGCGACTTCTTCCATCTACTGCTGTAGAAAATAATTCGAGCTGTATAGCTGAATCGAGTAGACACAATCTTTTATAAAAGTGTATAGCATAGTCGCCGATGATATTGATAACATTGGCCTCAACAACCGCGCCTTTAGTTCTGCTTCTTCGTCATACTCGCGACTTTGCTTCTATGACAGTATTGACAGTCATAATTTCGAAGTCGTAGATAATTTCGTCTATCTTGGAACCAGTATTAACTGCACGCATTATTGCTGTCCTGCCATATGGTGCAGGGGCATGGCCGATGAAAAAATCTGATGATTCGACGTCGAGCTTTCGAAAAAAAGGTTTTGCGAAAGATTAGGGTCCTTCGATGGAATGATGAGTTGTACGAGTTATACGACAATATTGTCATAGGTCAGTGAATTTAGAGACAGCGGCTACGCTGGCTAGGTCAAATCGTCCGGGGGATGCAGAGGAAGAGGAAGACCTCCAATCTGCTGGAGAGATCAGGTGTAAAAAGACATGGCTGCACTTGGTATCTCGAATTGGCACCAAACTGGAAACATAAGAAACGTTAACTCGGCTATAACCGAACTTATCATAAATATATTTATGTGCTTTCATTTCTATTATTGTGTCTGGTTTTTCCAATGGGTTTCATCCTAATATGATTTTTTGGACTTTTCAAAGGCTTCAACACTGCACTAATGTACATATTGCAGTGCGTGAAAATTCGTGTCATTGGATTCTCGGCTCTTGAACATTTTTTACATATTCTATATGGGGAAAAATTTCGTTAATAGAAAATTATTGAGTACTACACAATACTAGATCCGACAATAAAAGGTATAGATTTTCAAGTATCAAGCATACATACATATTAATATTCTACTTAAAGGCTATGTACACACATGCCGCCTATTCTTTTTTTGTTTTAAATAAAACATTAATTTATATATTTTTATTTAATTTATGTCTAGCAGATATACATATTTTCAAAAATAAAAGAGCACTTACCCAAAAATGTGGCGCTGGGGGAATTATATGCCAAATACTCCTTGTTCGAAGCCCAAGCGGGGAATTCGTTCTGCTGCACTGCGTCTGACAGTTCGTCTCCCTGCCGTTTCCACGGCAACTGCGATTCTGTAGCGGTAGGTGTTGCTACACGCCGTTCACCATCTGAATCACGTGAGATATTGTGATCCTCCTCGGGTATAGGATTCTCGGCAACTATTATGAGTAAAATATTGCAATGATTAAACTTTTGAATTTGTAAAATGAACATCACCTTATTTACATAAACTAATTGCATCTATGGTAACCATATCAATGCATATTTGTACAGTTATTTTGGTTAGCTAAGCTTAAGCTTAATAATATTCATAAGTTAAGAAGGCAATAGGCATAGTGCATGCGAGTTCGGAAACCAAAGATTACTTTACTAATTTGTTCATACATTTTTCGTTTAGTTACAAAAGTTATGTAGCTTGACAGCCATTATATAATTGCTTATTTTGATTAGTAAGTTAATTTTGTTAATCCTGCAAACAAAAATATAAAATACGAAACATTTTGGGAACCAAAAAAAATTAAAACACGCAAAAGAACCAAACAGAATTGAAACGCTAAATTATAGCCATGCACAAAAATGCCATGCTCGTAGTAATTGATGTGTTTGGCGTAATTACTGAATCATTGGAAACCGATTGAGTTTTTTTCTAATACAAACGCGTTTTGAATAATTGCTATTTTTACATTGGAAAAATTAAATGATGGGCATAATTTTGGTGTATGTGTCTAATTTGTTTGAAATTTCTGAAATAATGGCTGAATGATAAATTGATCGATTTACTAGTAGTAGTAGCAATTATGAGGCAAGTATTAGTATCGGCGAATAATTTATGCACAATATTCAGGGCTGCTACTACAATTCTTCATAAGAACTTGGTAAGAACACTGACAGTAATTATACCCTGCACAGAGTATATTAAGTATTCCACGAGGTTTGTCAGGCTCCTATGGATTTTCAGATTCTTTAGTTGGTTTTAGTATTTCAACAACAAGCTTGGGTTCTATAGTTTCGACAATAGCCATTTCTACCACTGCAACAACCTTGGTTAATTCTTCTACCCCGCGTACAGGCTGTTGATAAATTTCTGGTTCTTTCTACCACCCATAAGAAACGTCGAAGATTCTCTGAAATATATTTCGAAACCATCAGCGTGATGAGCTCAGTCGATTAAGCCATGCCCGTCCGCCTGTCTGTCTGTATATTCTTTGAGATATGGGTGTGAAATTTGGTACACGTTGTTTTTTCCCCAAAAAGCTACTCAGTTGTCGGAACGGCCGATATCGGACCAATATAGCATAAATACAAACTGAACGATTGTGCTTGTATGGAAAACCTTTTCATTTGACGAAAAAAAATAAATTTAGAACGAGTTATTGCCTAAAGCTAGTGCAACCTCCGAAGAAATGGATCAAATCTGATCACTTTCGTATTTGTGAAGGGTATTATAGCTTCAGTGCAAACGAATTTAAAGATTATATTATACTTATTATTATATTTTTCACAGACCAGTGGAAAAATTCGAATCTACACGCACAGTACAAAATTTTCCCGTGCCAGTGAGACAAAGAAGTACCGATAGTGTCGAGAATATTGCTGTCGCTAATGCATTAATTGAGGAAAACCCAAATCAGTCTCTCACACTTCGTTCTCAAGCGTTGGGTATCTCTGTGACATCGTTGTGGCGACTTTTACGAAAAGATCTTGGCTGAGCAACAACTTGAAAATAATCCGGATTTTTTAGGATGTTTCCCTCATTTCTTATCAAACTGATGTGATAACATCACTTTACTTGATATATAAAATATTAAAGACTTTTAGGTTATATAATTAGGTCTTACGTCGTGAAAGATTTTAATGAGCGATGATGTTTTAAAATGCAACGACCCGTGAATATACATGAAGGTTTAACGGTAATGGGAGTTTTATTTATTAAAAATATACGGTTTAGTCTACGCTAAAGAACAATGCATGAATTTAAATAATTTTAAAAGCCAGCTATGCAATATTCGTACAAACTACTTTAAAATTCAAAAAGTCATATTGTCATTTCATAATTCATTAAATGCGCTTTGCATAGCATGGGCGCATGCGCATTTACTAAAAGGTATACAATTTTAGTCTAAGATTTTTTTTTTACAAATTTCGCATTAATGTTTGGGGAACGGGTGATTTATAATTAATTTTGAGGCCGATTGGTTAAGACTTTGGTAGATGCACCTTTTCTAATGATATTTATAGTAAAAATATTTGTTTGTTATCACACATGATGTACAATGATATTGGTTAGAAACGATTTGCGATGCTATGTATAGGCACCAAACCTTCAAGTTATTGTTGAAGTAAAGATGTAATGAATGCTTTTGATTAGAACAAACATGGATTTTTTGTGTGATGGTATAAGTAATTACAATAAACTCAAATATTTACGACCCTGAAAAACAATTAGTGCTGCCAAATATTTGCGCCTAAAGCAAAGACATAACCGTGAGTTGTATATTCTTTTGTATATACAATAAAAATAATATTAAGTTACACAAAATGGGGAAGTGAACAGAAATTTGGTGAGCAAAGAATATGTATATGTTTCGGAAATTATACAAAGCCAAATACTTTTTTGAACAATAATAAACTTCATCCAAAAGAATAGTTTTTGAAAAAACAGCCAGCGACGCCAAACGATTTTGAGCAACATGTTTACACAATGCGTGCTTTTGGCTGGCGGTAGTTTCGACGCGATTTCAAAAACATATTTATGTATTTTTACACTAAATTGCAAAGGCGAAAACTACATAATTTAGTTTGTTTATCTGTAGTAGTGGCTACACATGGTAGCTGTAGTTGCTAATAAGCCTTTACCAATGCACTGGTAGGAACGATCCCGTCGCCAAGGCAAAATCGATTCGGCCGCTGTCGGACCCACGTCGGGTGTTAACAATTTCTCCGGGCTGCCATTCTCACTCTTTGATGTCGAATAATGTTGTACGATGCGCGCCTTCGATGCATCGAAACCGGGTAAGTTCTGTATGTGCGCTATAAGTGAATTATTATTGGCTCGATCCGAGTCCGCTGTATACGTTGCCACATGTTTAGTTTTTATGTTTTGTCAAATGTGTTTTGCATTTAAATCCAATTTGTTTAAGTTGGCATTTGTATTTGTTGTTATGTGATTTTCATAAGTTTCCCAACATGATTCATTTTTATTGCGTTTGCATTTTTATGCATTCAATGTGGTTGTTAATTGTATTCAATTATTTACAGTAATTTGAAACATCTCAAGTCGTTAGTTAAGTATCATTTTTTTTAAGTAGTGCGTGGTAGCGTTTGTTACACATTTGTTTTTTTTTTTTTCAAATTAGAAACAAATGAAAAATATAGAGAAGTGTTTGTGAAAAAAAGAATACTTTTGTTAGATTTTTAATACTGTTACTTTTGTAATAGAAGGGTTAGTAAAAATTTATAAAGAACTATAAACCCATATTAAATTTCTAAACAGGCCATTTCCAGTTATAAAAGATCTTGTGACTACAGAATTTATGTAAGTAAAAATAATTTAAATAGTAAAAATTGAATAATAAAAAACTTTAA